ATTTCCATTGACTATCAGAGTCTACTGGCATCCTTTGACGATTGTGTAACTATGATGATTTCAGAGCATTTTTAGAGTTTCTCAATTTCTTACAGTTCTAATAGCTACTTAAGTTCTGAGACTTGTTAAAATTATGTTTCATTTACTTTCATGGCTTCGTTTCTTTAGTCAATATTTAGGTTTTCTAAATTTCAGAATGGTACAGTTCATGCAATTCAACTAAACATCTTCTATGACTTTCAATTTAATTTATTTTGGACAAATCCTTTGTATAACTGGTGTAGGAAAACAACACTGCAATGCAAAAATATTCGATGCGTTGTAAAATTCTATTAGCTTCGTTTTCTGTTTGGTAAAATATTGCAAAAAAAAGAAGCTCAATAAAATCCTCGAAAACGGGCTTGAATAACGTAATAATTCTTTTCGTTTGGGTACTATTCATCAATGTTAAAATATTATTCTGAAATTTTTACTTTTTTAAAAAACCAACAGCTTAAATAATTAAAATAATCATTAGGTAAAATTGAGTAATATCTTGAGCACGATAAAAACCCGACTCGATGGTAAGTATCAGTGATCATATTCAATTGTGTTCAAACATAACGAACTGAACATAAAATTTTCAAGTCATCAAGACTGTTCAGAAAGCGATAGACAAGCTAGATGGGTAGTGCCAAAAGTGACGAAGCAACATTATTAGCCAGAAATATTGTTTGTTCTCGAACACTATATTTTGTTACAAGGAATGTCTATTGAAACTGATTTTTCTTTATATCGATGCATTTGTTGACTATATATCCTTAATCTTCGTCATACTTGGATGCTTCTTTTCTATTACAGAAATATGAAACAAGTGTAATACGACCAATCCATACTTTCATCTGAATTCTATACGAAACCTTCTATTTAGTTTGTATAACTGACCATTCGCAGGAGTTTCCAATCTGCTTGAATATATTTAAGAACTCCTTCAAATTTTCTCTTTTTCTGCTTCATTTTGGTGTTCAAGATGCAAGTAAAGAGAAAAAAGATGAGTAAAAGCTGTGGAAGACAACCAATAGACAAAATAGTGCGACGAAGACATTGATAGAAATGTCAATATTGTGATTTTATTATTATAATGCAAGATAAATATCACACGTGTGAACACAATTGTCAGACTAAAATATTACCATTTGTATGCATAGTTCTTTGATATACAATCAATAATTCAATAATCAAGAGATTAGACAATAATAGCATTATAATTACTTTTTTATTATTATCGACAATACAAATATTCTTTAACAAATGGCATCAATTCTCTATCCATCATCATATTTAATTAATTTTTAATTATATTTCGGGAAACGAAAATAGCGGTGCGTAAAACCTTGAAACGAAATTTCAAAAACATAGCATTAGAAGAGAAATAATACTTTTAATATAGACAAAAGTACGCAGTGCTCAATTTAATGCATAGCATAAATGAAAATCTTACATGCGGAAAATATTACTAGAGAATACATAATTATTGCTATTTGTGACGAGTTCCTTGTCATACTTTGTATAAATTACTAATTTTATTTGATACGTAAAATACTGTCAAAATGCATCTCTTCTTCTTATCATCTAACGTTCGTTATAGATACATTTTTATGTTCGCTGCTTTCCTTATTCATAAGATGTTGCTATGATAAATGCTGGATGTATCCACTATTCGCTTGAATCTATCACAACATGTACTTCTATTTCATTTACTTCTGAAAAAAATCTTTTGAACACGATTTTTTCTTTCGATCAACAGTGATCGAGAAAGATGTAAATAGTATGCAACTGTCACATACCATTGATGCCTCGTATGAGGTTTTGACCAAAATATTCTAAAGCGATAAGAAAAACCTTTTCCGGGCTGATGGTCTGAAGAAACTGAATACATTCATCTCATTCTGTAAGAATTTGGGCATCACTGAAGATGTCTTGTACTTGTGTAAGCTTGTTTTACCAATCTTCTTCTGATCTGTCGATAGTTTCATCGACCCAGATGATCGACTAGTTTTCAATCATATGTCGTCTTCCTTTTCGACTAATTTTGAATAAAATTTGAGATATTTGATCGCTAATCGAGTGTGATACAATAATAGATTGCTCTTTTGACAAAGATCATCTGTTCTACTTATGTATTCGGTACCCACTGTTTTTTCTCTCGAAACTTTTATATGACAAACTCTGCTTAGTTTCAAATTCAAAATGCGGTTGTCAACCACAAACGAAGAAAAAAAATCCAATAGTGTTAGTTTTTCTATGACTATTTTTTCCAACTTTTGCTTTCTCTTCATGTACACAGCAATTACTTCAATGCCAATATGTTGGGTACCTTTTCTCACTCATTGTTTTTATTTTTCTTCGAACCTTTCAGAACGACTGGTTTTCTCTTTTTGGCATGAGCGAAAAGAAAAAAACAAAGACATCATCAGTTTGACTTTGTTTCATTGTGTTTCTAATGCAGACTCTGATAATATGAACGAAACAAACTTCATCGCTATTGAAGCAACAATCTAGTAAAGATTTTGTTGTATTATGAAATATACTAAACATAATTAACGATTGATTCAGTAAACTGAAACTTTCAGAATGAACTAGTTCTATTGAGAGTATTAGTCGTGCAAAGTTTCATGTCAAGACTCAAAAGCCAACTGTCAATGCAATCTGAGAAGGACTACAGGGTTTTGTTGAAAAGTTCAGTCAAAATTTGATATCATAAGAACGAAGGTCTGGAAAATCAAACCATTCTATACTTTTCAACGATAGCCAGCACCCATCGAATGAGCATAATCCCGAATCAGAAATGATTAAGTACCTGAAAAGATCCCCTCACGAGTTACTGTATCTTAATAAGAGCTTATGTGTGCATTCACCTAAGGTGCATAATAGCATGCCCTCTCAGATAGTAAATTCAAATTCAAATAAAAGTCCTGGAAAGAGAATTGTATTATTCATTATTCATTATTTTTAGCACATTACAAGCACATTTTTGGCCATTTTGAAGCAGAAGAAACTTCAGAAAGTTCGAAAAGTCTGTCGTATATAGTAAACATATAACCCTAAAGAAGTACAAAATATCTGATGAATACAATTAGATCTTCAATCTGAAACATATATTTTACTTGCAGAGTTCTATCAGTGATATTTGCCTATTTTACCTACTGTGTGATAGCTGATACAAGATGACTAGTCGTTTGCAATCAGACTTCAATGTGCAGTTAAATGAAAAACCATAGCAGCTGTTATGTCAGCTACAACTTAGGTTGAGTTCTCAGAAATCGATTTTGTCGCCTAGCTGTCCACAATGTGACTCACACACATCCAAAGCAGATTTCATTTCAGCTGTTATTCAAAAAAGATAAAAATTATACTTAATTAATATTTATTTACCAATTAGGTTAGTTGTATAGAATTTTCGTTGTTCTTGCACTTCTTGCTTCTGTTTGCTCAGTTTCTCTTTTATATACATAGTGTTCGAATACTGTTATTGAAACGTTGCCTATTTGTCGATCATTTCATTTCTCTTTATTGTGTTTTGATGTAATAGAATCATTGGCAAAGATCTTTGCATCGTGGAAATCTGAAAAAAAATATTCATTCAGAAGAACTTCGAACATCTATACGAAGATAAAGAGCTACATGTTCGTTGATTTTGACTCTGAGTAATACCCGTGACGCATAGGCTCACACTTTTTTTGACAAGCAAAAGTAACAAAGATAAAAGAATTACGTCAACAAAAACCGATATGAATCATACGATAAGAAAAATAAATCACACAATCTTACGAGTAAAATTCGTCATTCCTCACCAACATCATTTCGAACAAGATTTCGTCTTTGATCAACATTGAAGACAAACACGTGATAAATACAAAAGAGAGAGTACAGGAAAATGTATAAAAAGAAGGCGCCTATGCTGACTATGATCGCACTTATCCTCATGAGCGTCATTGTAGTCTTTTCTAACAACAGAAAGCGATATGCATCGTCTTGAGTGCATTGAAGGAGCAAATAACGTGTGTAAAATGATCAAACTTCAATTGCATCTATTGATATCAGAAAGTAGTGTTAACTCGACACGTAATTTTCTCCGTAAAGTCAAATTCGATCAACATATTTTCTGTTTTATTCATTAAATTCTGTCGATTCAAGTAAAAAACTGAATAGTAGTAAATTAGATTTAATATATCGAGAAGTCAGCTTTAAACAGTTTGCTGTAGTCAATACATCATGAGAACATGTTTGTATTGAATTACTCGTAGAAAAATAGCTATTTAGTATTCCTCAATGATTGAGTGATCCTGCCATTGTTTCATTTTTCATTTCTTGTTGGTAATTTGAAAAAAAAAAGGTGTTTGACCGAAAAATACACATCGATTAGTCGTATTTGGCTAAGTTTTCGAGGATGTCTTTCAAATAATTATATGATGTAGCTGTATGATAATGATACAATGCTGATAGGGAGTTTGCTTAGATGTGATTCGAGTTCCACTAATTGATCATTTTCAGAGACTTGAGTTTTACTCTTTTGGCGATCGTATCAGTCACTTTATTTATAATGATGAACAATTTTTGTGAAACTACTCGACCGATTGATTGACTTCGAAATTTGTTTACATTCTAAAACATCGTCATCGAGAGTAGAATATTGCTAGTTTCATTTATATGAATATGTTCATTAATTTGAATATCATATGAACGAATATGAAACGTCAGACAACTGTGCATTAAATTCCTTTTTTTTTAAATGCTATAAGTGATGAAATCATATTCATTTCCTTATCTGAGAGCTTGATCCCGTCTTACTATTAAATCAGCTTTCGATTTTGTTTGTCAATTTTCATAGGCTATTATTATCTGTCTTATACTTCTGAGTCGTTGGTGACTGAACGACAAATTTGAAAATGTCACGCTTATTTCTGTACGTATTCCAAGTTTATATCATTATTTTGGCAGCCACTTCAACCACAACCCAAATGCCTGATCCTTCTCAGCTTCCTCCAGCACTCCGTAATTTCATTCTCACAATTAGTTCCTACTTGAATGAAACTTTATATCCTCAAAATTCAACGCTTGCTATTAGTGATCCTGAATTGTTTGCAGCCCTAACCAATCTACATCAAGCTTCATTGCCTGTACTTAAAATTATTTCAAATGTAACTATTCCAAACAATACTTGGGTCATCTATGATGAAGTTAAAGAATTCAATCAGATTGGCATACAAGCAATGGATCTCTTGTCTGCACGTATACTGACACCAACAAAAATTCCTTTAGAAATGGAGTTGGCCGCTATGGCAGATATAATCCAGTTTATCGAGCTACCCGATAAATCAGTGGACGAACAACTTAGCAAAGAGGTTCAAATAATCGTTGATGGTATTTTGAAAAAGGTAAGTCAACATTGGACATTGCTATAGTTTTAGGGATGAGCCTAACTGAGAAAATAGTAAAAATCGGCGATGTGTCGCATTCTATGAGTATCATTGATAAAACCCTGTTTGATGAATTGCTATTATTTTACTCAGTTATATGAAATATGGTCACATCTGAATTGACCATTGTCAACCATCTTTCGATTATCTTTCGTTCCGATCTCGGAAAAAAAAAGAAATGCAAGCCTAACAACGTTCAAGATTGAGTCGAAACTCCATAAGGGACGTACCTGACTCATAAACCTAAAGAGGGCATATATTTTTCACCTGCCAAAAGAAAAAAATTTACTCAATTATATATTGTCAAAATGCTACACAACGAAAAGATTTTTCTATATGTGCGAAAATCTCCAACTCTGTAACAAAGGAGAATAGCCATAGTATAACTATCGACATTTGTTATATACAGACGAATATAAAATAATCCGCTGAAGACGGCTATTTTTAAGAATTGTTTTACAAAGTTTGACTGGAAAATTTTAGGACTCAAGAGGAATCGGGTGAGAAAAAATCATTTTTATGGTAGTAACTGCGAAATTATTCTTAGGAGAGTTCGATTTAGATAGTCAAAAATTGACCAAAATAAGATAGAATTCATCTTCTTTAGAGATAGCTGCGGAAGTCCATTCGTTATGGTATAGTTCGCCATCCCAGGTGGAAACTTTTGAATTATAATACAGAAAGCGTCTTTGAAGTAATGATGAATTTAACATAATACAATTAGAACTCGACTTCTTCAGTGACAGCTGCAGATATTCTTCAGTTAAATTATACTTTATCGCTGCAAGTGACAATTTCTTTTGCAAAATAGTTGACAATTTCCAGATACAAATTTGGTTCTTCAACATAAATAACATGGAATCTCATTTTTTAGAGACATATTTACAAAAAAAGGATGTTTTTATTGTATAGTTCTCCATTGAAGGCAGCTACCCTGGTACCCTTAAAATTCTAGAAGCACAAAGCAGGTCTCCGAGAAAGAAAAAATTTTCTTTACTTCAGTGTAAATTTAAGTGAAGACCGAAGTATGTGTCATAGTGGCAGCGAAATCCAAAGCAAGGAAACTGTTAACTTGATAGACTATCATAAAACATAGTTTGTTCGGTGAAAAGCTGTAGAAAAATGCGAAAAAACTCAGTTTATAATTTTTTTCCAAGAAATTGTTCTCAAAAGTCTAGAAAATAGTTGTTAATCAATGTTCTCTCATCAGTGTTGTCAAAAGACAGAATTGAGACGATCCACAGTTTTTCGAAAGTTACCAAAAGAATGCTATCTTGTTGATACTAATAATTTTCTATTTCGTCTTGACCGCCTTCTAACTATTACTATGTAATAACCAAACAATCCATAGTTAGCTTCTTGACCATCTATCTGTACTAAAAAGATGAAAACAAGGTTGATATAAAATAAACTCAATCTTTGTTTAGCTCCCTAATCGACGCCTTCAAACATATAAAGTGATCGGTATTAACTCAACATTATCCGGTGCTCAATCTCGTTCGAATTATATTCTTGTGTTTGCTCGTCTCCGTATCCTCGCTCCCGCCTCTTTTCATGGAGTAATGATACACGAAATTGCTCACGGTGAACTTACCCACATTCCCCAAGGCACGGTTGCACGAGTGTTCAAGGATATATTTTGGTCTTCAGTCTCGGACAGACCAATCTACTCTACTAACGCCAGCAAAAAACACAACGGCTCAAATTCTTCCTCTCTTGGCAGCGGCTGCTCTATCTCGAAGAAACGAACTACGAGCTGATGCATATGCCACTAAGATGGGAGTATCAAAATTAGAAAATCCATGCGGAATGATCGATGCTATTCGAATATTCACAAAAGGTCAAGGTTCTTTGCCGTTTGCCAGTCATTCAAACCTGAAAGATAGATTAGAGGCTGCATTCAAAGTTGTTTCGAGCGAAGGTGCAGGGTCCTGTTCAACGACTAGCATGGCTATGGGACATATGCCTACAGTTATTGTTGTCATTATCGCTCTTTACAAAGCTTCCAGAAAAGATAACACTTAATCAAAATATCATTGGATAGTGTGAGTATGAGATGCAGGTAAAGATTAAAGAAAAGCTGACATACATCCACACCTACACTACATCTTCAAAGTTACACCCACATCCTTATTCTTTATAGTTTTTTCCTTACTTTTTATAATTTTTATTGACAACACCAAATAAAATTTCTTTTACATAAATGAATAAAAAAAAAAGCAATAGATGCATTTAATAGACTTCTTAAAGCGAATATAAATACCATGTTCTGCTACTATTGGTTGAGAGATTTTCGAAAATAATTAAAAAATTGAGACAATTATTTTGAAACAGCATGAGAGATTCATCGGTTATTGCAATTTCAGGTGAAATGAGTAAATTATGACATGCATGTTTAAATTCATTTTTCAAGAGAAGATCCAGATTCGCACATCTATCCGAAATGGAAATAATCCACGTTTCTATTTTCGAAAAGAAAAACAGAATCCAAGTCGGATCAGACATTCTGGTTGTGTTTTTTAATATCATGGTGGATGTGTACATCTTTCACATCTGTTGACTGGTTTCGACTTGAAACATCAAATGAAACGTATAGAAGAATGTCGTAGAAAAGTTTAAGCCCGCCACCAATGACAAAAGGCAATGCGAATAGAACAGTATTTCGGCTATCTTGCAAGAGATAACCAACAATCATTGGTGATATGGATAGACCAACCGATCGAACCAGATTTGTTATGCCTCCAGCTGCTGAACGTTCATTGTTGTCTACACTGATCGCAACAAATGTTTGTCGCGCTGGTACATCCATTTGACTGATAGAAAATCTTAGAAGCAGCATGGCGACAGCTGATGCTTTCGTTTGCATAAAAGGAATAAGAATCAAAAAGATATTTGATGGAATCTAGATTAAATACGAATATTTTAAAAATTTTTTTTTTCTCAGAGAACAGTACTCACATGAGTTACGACCATAGTATTTATGGCACCTATTCGACCAACTAGTGGTGTTACCAAAATAGCAGAGAAGCCCGAAATCAGATTAGCAGCCATCATCATCAAACCTAGCATTTCAATATTCATCTGAAAACGTTCATGAAACCAATAGATAATCATCGATTGCATAACGAAACCACCACCAATTGCATCGATGATGAACAGAACGCAAAGTTTAGCAACAGTGCGACGCGAAGTAGATCGACGAAGTCCGAATTTTTCATTGAACCAATGAAATATATGAGTGAATAGTGTTTTTGCGTTGCTCCGACCATATGAATCGGTTGCAGGTATAATTTTTTCGGAATCCGATGGTAGAGTAGTTTCAATTCGTCGAGATAAGGATAGATATATGACTGTTTTAACTGCACCAAAAACCGCATAGGCAATGATAATCGATTGATATGCTTTAACAGCGTGAAAATGATAATCTTCGGTCAATTTTGAAATAATATAGCCTGAGCTTAGTGCACCAAGCGCAGTTGAAACATAGCCGAAAAAGTTATACCAACCATAGATGGCTCTAAACTTCGAGAAATACTAGTAGAGAAAAGATAGACTGATAGTAGATGTTATCGACTCTCAATATTTACTTATGCTATGTTCTCATTTAGAAAAATGACGATAAGTTACTTACGCAATCTGAGCTTTATCCTTCACAGTTTCGGTCATACACGCTTGTTCAATTGAAAGAAACGGTCCGATTTCGCCACCAGTAGGTGAAATTATACCCACTATTCCAGCGAGTACTAGAAGCAGGTATTGATCAGTGAACGCGAACATGACGCCAGCAAACAATTTCAATATTGAACCGATAACGAGAACATTTCGTCGACCGAGTGCATCAGCTGTTGTTGTTAGTAAGAGAGTGATAATAATGTCTCCAATTAGAATGGCAGTAAATAAGGTTCCGATATGCCATTGATCGAAACCCTTTACAGTTAGGTACAGAACTAATGCAATTGAGAGCATACCGTAACTGAATAAACGCACAAATCGAGCAGCAAATAAGAGAATCATATCTTGGTTCCAATCGAAGTTGCATATATCAGCTAAGAAGCATCCATTACACAATCTTGAAATTGATACAGATACACGTCTATGGCAGCAATAAGATGGAAAACATCCAAGGAAAGGTCGATTGGTGTGCATGATCATGTGATTGAAAAGATGTGATATTGTCGTCGTCGTGAAAAAAGAAATTTTTCTGCAACACAAAACATTCAACAAGCTCTTATCAATTGTACAATACTAGTAGTTGAACTAGCGTAAGCTTTTTAGTCGAAGCAAGAGATGAAATAATTCGAAAAAAGGAGAATCATATCAATGTGTTTTTAGTTCTGAATACTCTATCAAGCAAATATACGGTGAATCTTGTGAGTGTTGCCTTTCATCGATACGATTCTATACAAAGTTTCCCTTTTAGTTATTTCAACAATATTGATTCTTGCACAATAGATCCAATCAGGTAAACAAACTATTGACAAATCATTAAACGCCTTAGAGTGGTAAAATGTGACTCGAAACATCTCAATTAAAATGGCTGAGACAATGAACCAACCATGAAGCAAACATTACGAGTAAGAAAAGAAACTGTGATTCATTTCAGGTAAACACGCTAGAGTCACCTGATTATTGATCCATAATCGGAGAAATCTTCCACGGTTTACCATGAAATGGCCGAAAAATTCTTCTCAAGTTCGAATATATCATGAAAGAATTGTCACATATTTTATTATGTGCTTCCAAGTTTTTTAGAAGACATACTAATCATTTCCGAGAAAATCATCTGCTAACAGCATAGATGTCGCTATTTCACATGGTGTCATACGAGTTTCTTCAAAATATTAAATATACTTTCTGTCAAACTTACAAGCTTAGGTCAGAAAAATACGGTGATTATTTTGTGATAGATCCGAAGTTAAGAGAGATTTTTTTGATATTTTGTGGTAAATCGTTGAAAACAGCTTAAGACTGTAGGTCAGCTTAGAGTTTAAATATAACACCGAAGTAATGCAAAATGCATCTGGCAATTAAAAGATCATAAATTTTTTCCAAGACAGATTTGCCTGTCTGTTATACATTGCAATGTCGATCAAAGAGGGTTGACATTCAACTAATTTATATGATTAATCAATAAATCGATCAATAATGGCTCTAACGGAATGCATTGATACATTGTTCTCTTGTGCCTGAGCGACTTGATATCGATTTTTGTGCCAATGCAAAAATGACTCAAGTCACAGTATAAAAACATATTTTGATTTTAATATTGATCAAATTTTGACATAGTATAATATATATTTGTACATATAACACGCATGATAAAATGTGACTGAACTTCATGATTCATGCAGCTTCGTTTTTTAATTTGAAACATAATAACACATGAAGTTCCATCGCGTTTTCACATGTATATGGAAGCGAGTGCAGATAGACATGAATCTCTGCTCATGATCCACACTCATCGACATGGGTGTGGGTGTGGGTGTGAGTGTGGATCTTCTCTGCACTCACACCCACTTCGGTTTAGGCGCAGCTTTACATCAGTGGAGTGCTAGTCAAAACAAATGTACTGATAAAAAACGAATTTCAAAGCTCACTTGGCCCATATCATCATTAAAAACAAAGACGATATATTATTCGACAAGTCACTGGTGTCAATAGACTTTTAGAGCGATCAAAAATCTCACCATAAGTACCTAATAGAAAAGCTAGGAAAATTCGAAAAATGCCCAACAAATGATAAACTTCAATTAGAAATTAAACGAATTATACTTTACTTTGCTCAGGAACCAATCTTCTTTGAAGATTTATGTGTCGAAAAATTCGTTTTTCATTCAGTAAAAGTTGTTCATGACATTGATCAAACAATATTATGTTCATATCAATTAGCGTTTGTTCTTCATCTTTGTAGATAAATAGCACATATTTGTGATGTGTTCATCAAATTAATGTACGGCGATGACCACTCTAATTGAGACTGAATCTTATTTTTCCTAGTCATGAATTTACCTTGGGTATGTGGGCGCCTGTATAAGATTGCAAAACAGGAGTACTTTTCAAACAAAAACCATCATCTCCATTACCTTTGTCACAGTTCATTGTGTTGAAGTAACTCTTAGGACAAGAGTTATTAACGAAAAGTCACTGGAATAAAGCTTGTCAAAAATATTAAAGAAAAAAAAATTTCTACTCTTTACTGGCACTATTGAACTCTTCAAAACTAGAAAATATTACCGTTTCATAAACTAATATAAATATAATATACACGTTTCAAATTTTATTTATATTGATCATTCACGATATTATTTATTTCGATATGATTATTAAAGAGGCGTTAGTATCTTGTTCCCATTGAACTCTTTTGAAACATTGATGGATTTGTCGAATTCTATCGAGATCAATAATTGATGATACAGTAATTTGACAATAAAATTGGCGAAGATGAGTCAAACGATTTGCAATAGTAAACATCAAATCAACTAATGGAATTTTACAACTAAATTCTAAACATAACCATTCAATATTTGGCATATAAGTAAGAATTATGTCCATATGATCCGATATGCACGCCGTGTAAGAGTCGAAGAAAAGTAATCGTTTAAGAGGATGATTATCAAAAGAAACTGGAGAAAAATCCATACGTTGATTATTAGATGATAATTCTATTTGTAGATATAACAAATGGGGATATGATGCAAGGATAAGTGAAATAATGATTGGTTCACAATAAATAATGCATACCGATTTGAGATTTGATGAGAAAGACCAAGAACAATCGTATGACTCAATAAAACGACGGAAACAAATATGATGAAGCGAAGGAAATTTATTAGAAAAAATACCGTTAACAAGTTGAATCAATGATGAAGAATTAAACTTTGATGAAATTGAAAGATATTCTAGATTAGGTATGAATTCGTATCGAATCTGTCGCATTTGAGCACCGGTCGCTTGATGTAATGTCAACGAGCGTAAATTCTGAAATCGTTTGAGGTTGATATCATTCCAAGTGACAACTACCAACCGAATGATTGGACGAGCAAATAATGATATCATTAATGGACCATCGTGCTCAAAAATAATAGAGAAGTTTTTCATTGATCGAAGCAACTTATTGAATCGGATATTGAGATTCGAAAAACTATAATATAAATCGCGAAGTTCGAAGTAATCGAAAATTTCAAGTAATAATTCATTGGGAAATATTTCCAATTTCGATGGATTATTAGTCATTGTATTAAGATAATCTACAATACTCAAGAAATGTTTAGAATTACAGTAAAGTTCTTCTATTATGAATACTATCGTGACCAACGAAAATCGCTCGCAATAGCAGAACGATCATTTTAGAAGAGGTTCAGGCAATAAATAGAGAACATGACATTTTTTTTTCATGTGTTTACTTTCTATTGTGATAGTATATTCTAATTTATTCAGTCTAAATTATTTTCATTGATACTCGATGCTATCTGCGTATATTTTTCAGGCTCTAATATCCTCGTCAGGCTTCAACATGACAGATTTGAAATAAGCATGAATCAATGAAAATGTCAGTGAGTACAGATTGTAGCTGTATAATAAATGGACGGAGACCGAAATATGATGTAGTCGATGATAGGCCTAATGGTGCACCATTTTCAAAGATACAGATAATGGTACTGACTTCTCTCTGTTCTCTACATGAAGAACAAATTTGGATATGGCAATACTTTTTGAGCATTAAACAACGAATCACTGTACACTGTATTACCAACTCTCTGACTGAGATCATTTTTAAGTTTTCATTTCAGTTTTTGTTTTGATACGTTTCATAGTGATTCGTTATATTCTCTTTTTCGCTTCAGAATACTGGAGACGGCACCAAGCGGCAATTGAAATTTCTCTCTCAGTTCAGAATGTAAAATATTTTGCTATTTATCTTTGTTACTCGTTCTAGAGAACTAATCCACAGCCTATTTTATAATTTCGATAAACTCAGTCGTATGAACATAATTATTCGACACGAGACGAGATTAAGTCAAATTAATCAACGAGACTTATAATCTACTCCAAATCATTGGCTGAACTAGAAAGCGAAAAAAAAATAATGTGTACGAAACAAGAGTAAAGTGCATATATATTTCTTCAAGTGTTTTAATAGTAAAATAAATAGGCTTAGGTCAATTCAAAACTCTCTATAAAGTCATCAAATTAGTGAACAACTTTTGCTAATTTCGAAACATGAACTGAATTAACTACTTAAGCTACTTTTTTATATCGAAACTAAAATGCATTGTCACCAATCTGGTCGAATAGCATATGGGATAACATTAGGAGAACATTTTCTCGCCTGATATTTCGACATTTTACTGAATTCGAATAGCAACTCATTGGCAAAACTACGCGCATATTCTAATAAAACAAATCAATCATCATTATCAATCGATTGACAACAATAGAACTTTTTTGATTCACGATGTGTTGACAAGAAAAAGATGTTGTTGCTAATGCGAACAACTTGATTCAACTAAATCATCGAGCCGTCAATTAGCCAGTGGTACATCAATATAGAGATCTTGTCACGCTTCACTCTTCATTATATTCTTGAGACAAGCGTTTGCATCTACAATTTTAAACGTGCACAATGCAGAAAATGTTTGTATGAGGTCACTTTTTATTATCCTGCCCCACGAGTTCAATTCTCGAAACATTTCCAAACATCTGCAAACATGTCGACACAGTACTCTCAAAACTTGGCCGAATAATGATCGTTCCAGTTCGCATAGGTCTCTGATAACTTCTTGGATTTTTTTCAACTTATTGTCGGACTGTGTGTATGTTGGTAGACAATTACCAGCGTAGCACTTCATGATATTACCAATTGACAATGAACTAATACACCATGATCAACTGTGAGATGTGGTTGAATGAAATTGAGAATGGTTCCGCAAAAATAGATAAATTGAGTGTGTAGGATTGTCATTGCTACTCACACAAAGACAATCAAATGATTCTGAATAAGAATTCGATTCATTTACTGTCACAGATACGAGTATCTCAAAGAAAAAATTGCGATCAAGAACGCTGTTCACACTGCCGAAATACAAATATGGAACTACTTGATTCGGTACAGATAGAAACGAGTCTGTAGGTAAACAATCAGCATTCATGTACATCATTCCCAAAATGTCGGGCACAGATTGAATGAGACATCAGTGAAGATTCTATTAGTATCATCTCAGATGATCGATAGAAGATATGGCCACTGTTATCATCAGTCAAAGGCATCAGTGGGACGTTGCTGAATCATACTCAAGCTTCATTATAAAAGAAAATAGTCTATATTGCACAACTCTTACAAAATCACGAGTAAAGTATGTTGATAAAGCCACCATGTGGCTCCATCACTTATTATTTTGCTGTTCTGTTTTCTAGAGTCAAAAAGCTTTTTTTCTTGTACTCCCTCTCCACAACTCAGAATGTACAAAAAAACGATGGTGAGGAACAGAAGAGCGCCTAAAAACGAAACGCTGTATATTATTGTCACAAAATCTAGAAAGAAATCTACAGAATATTTTGACTAACATTTTATCATCTCTTATTTCAATTATGCGTGCCTGTTTTTAAGTTCTACTATGTGTTTTACTTGATGAATAGATTCTCAGCAAATTAATAACACTTTACAATGTCGTACAATATTTTTTATCATTAGCCTACGAAATTTGGAATGATAAATTCTATTATGCAGTCGACGCTATGAGTGATAGAGCTACTAGAATGCTGAGAGACAAAGTCTTTTACCGGACTCCCAAAGCACCATCAAATGAAGGATTAAGTTCTCCTTACTGAGACTAAGCTCTACCACCGTCAAATTGTTGACTCTGTCATAATAAATCACCACTAGTGACCGATTAAGGGCATAACTTAATCATAATGATTGAAATCAGGAAAAATCAACTATCCATCAAACTATTCATGTAAGAAAAAACTTTTCTAAGGTTTGATTAACTTTTTCATTCATGAGAAAAGTCTAATTACATGTTTAATAACCTTAGCACACGCCAATGGTGTAATGGTGAGCATATTTGTCTCATAAGCAGAAGGTCCAGGTTCGATTCCTGGTTGGCGTCATCTTCTTCTTTTTTCTCAGTTACTCTATATTCATTGCATCATATTCTCTTTTCGTCTGAATGAGAATAAATCACCTAAATCAAATCTTTCGAATGCTGTATGATTCATCCGAAACCCTGTACACTGACGACACTGTTTATAAATGATTCATAAAAGAAAGTGAGTGACTGATTGTCATTCTTATTGCTTGATCAATTTTTGCCAAAAACAAGTGAAAGAAGGCAAAACAAAGCATGAAACCATACACAGTAACTCATACGATTGTCAATTTCCTATTATCAGCTACACGTGGAATCGAATCTAATACAAGTGACCCAGCAAAAGTATACAGGTCACAGAAAACTAACACCAATTAATGGAAAATAATCCAGGCAAACACTAGTGCCTACATAGAATTGTCGTTCAATCCATTGATAGACACTTTTAATAAAGTTATTCGCCTTTTGAATGATCTTTGTATAAAACAACAAAAAAGAACGATGACAGCATACAAAGATGATGCCTGATCAAAACCAAATCAGGATATCTTATTTGTATTTCATGCCAAAATCACCTCAAGTAAAATTCCAATCAAATATCATACATGCTTTTTCTGTTACTTTTCGTATTCTAGGAAGGTACGTTCTTGGGACCCATAGTTTCCTTCATTCATGGACATCACAACAGGTATCTGAAACATATTAGAGAGATTGATTTGACCATTATTTGACGAAGATGTGGCACAAACAATTAATATAGATAGTGTTCATCTGATTCGTCGTCTGAAAACATAATCTATCTCGATCTCCTAAAACCAACAACTCATTATGTATAATGGATATTAAGCAGCCGAGTGCAATGCTAGCACAAGGAGAATATATCGCCATTAAAAAAAAAGTTTCTTCTTAAATGTCATTATTCATATGTGAAAAGCATAACCATTGATGTGATAAAAAGTGTAGCACGCATTTTTCTGACTGAAAATGTTTTCATCTATAAAAATAAATGTTATCAACAAAGTCTCGATGAAGCAATTTGTTCACCATGCACATTATCGTTAGGAGTTGGAGAAAAACTTATAGTTAATTATCAAAAAAACGCTGATGAATTATATTGACGGTAACTATTATGAGCAAGATATTCATTGCTTTAATTACCACTAATATTTGTATCATAGAAATATTCATGATATATATTTAGCTTCGAATAATTTCATCGAAATACTTATTAAATGCTAGAAGCCGTCAAGAAAATTCATGCAAATATTAAATTAAAGCATACAATTGATAATCCTATTTTCTTTCATGATGTACAAATAATAAACGATAGAGATAATATGGTAACATCTGCTTATTATAAAGCACCAGCTTAGCGTTATATTGTATTTTTTCAATCGATTCATCTATATCACGCTTGTGCCAGTATCACACAAAGTAGTCCTCTTCAAGGTTTACGTTATTCATCAATATTGAAAGAATTTCAGTATCAACAACAAGCTATCATATTGATATTACTCTATAATGTCAGCTTACTTACATAGGCAAGAAAAAATAGACAATAGACCTGAGTTGATTAGTTGTAATTCAGATTGATCTCACCTTCCTAACGAGATGGATTTTATACGATGGTCTATTCTAAATAACAAAAAATACATCGGCTAGAAAGATGATATAGAGCGAACCAACAGCAGTTTGCTGAATATATGAACTGTACTCGAGTAGAAATAGATAAGAGATAAGTCCCAAGTCTAGCCTACGGATAAGGTGACGGCCAGCATGTGTACGATAACGTTAAATATTATATTGTTCGACGTGTAATGAAATTTCTGTAGGTGCCGGAGAAATGTTTTGCTAACAAGATCTTCTATTCATTGCCATGAAGATAGAAAAATGTCACTTTCCTTCTGTCAATGTATTTGGTAAGGAGAAGAAAAAAAAAGACGCTTGGTTAGTGCGGCAAAGAGGGCTGGACAAGGAGAAAATGGCCTACTCCAGTACTTCCTGGACTCCTGAAACCCACAGTCCATGGAGTCTAGTGGGAGTATGGAAATATATGAGTACGTCGTTTCCATTCACGCGCACATTCACTTCACATCCACATCCGAGAGTGCCACAGAATGACTAACAAGTGTGCGCGTGAGGGTATGGATGATTGCGAGGTTTATTAGTTTTATCAATCATGTTTGGCAACTTTGCTGAGAAATCAATCAGTCAGATCGTTAGTTATAGCAATTGTAGTTAAACGACACGCTATTGCAAACATAGTTCTAATCAGTTATCGCTGAGTCAATGAAAAATATATTCAAGAAAGCTAGTCACCTAAGTGAATAGGTAAGTCAGAACGAAAAACATTGTATGATGTTTCCAACTTTTTTTGCTTTGCATAAATTAATCGTCAAACGCATCCTCACACTTTCCGGCATCTCTATATATGCTGATGAGATTATGTGTCAATCTGCTAGGCATATCTGTTCTACTCGTTGTGATTACAAAATATGTGCTTTCAGCTAATATGAGAAGTAGATATTCATTTATTAGAGCACATGATAGATTAGAAATACAGCGAATGGTTATTTAAGCTCACAGTTTATTTTCAAAACTCTTTGACAGCGAAAATAAACATTGCGATAAGAATAACAATTGTTTTATGTCGCGAAATCCAACAACCGGATTTACAATATGCATAGAACTCATCTGAATGTCCTTGATTGGGACAGGTACTTGGAAAACTAGTTCGCCATTTATCAGCACAAGTTTCATTCGTACATAGTGAGAAACGAGAGTTCGTTGAGATGCACAATGTATCAGATTTAGGACAGCTTTCAAAAAGGCAATGGTCAACATTGGTACCTTGAATTAAGCTTACAGAGGTAATTAAACCCAAGAATCACACGAGCTTTGTGATGTTCATACCTATAAGAATCGATTATCGAGAATAGATCTGCGAAGAATCATGGAAAACAACAAATTTGGTTTCCTTCAAAAATGACTCTTTAGTGCAAACAAAAGTGTAGATTTCTTCAGATAGAAACACATAGAGAGCTTATACATAGGCAGACAAAAGCTGAAAAAAAGCACATGGAAACGCTATAGAAATTTTGACAATTTTTGGATACTAATCGAGGTTTCTAATTGTCATCCGAAAACATTCCAAACACTGCGACGTGAAAAAGATGATTTCCTACACAGGGTGAGATTCTTGGCAGTTTATGTATCATAAATTCTTAGTCATTTTGACATCTATTTACTGTAAATGTTTCTGACTTACAATCGAAAACCATGATTAGCATCCCAAAATGCCCAGATTTTCTGTGCGTTTGCATATTCGTTTATTATCTCTTTGATTTCTAATGAATTTTCATTATAGAATGTCTTCAGTACTTGGTTTCAGTAAAGCTATGACTGCATAGAATTTACTTTAACGATGAATCTACGTCTTTCAATATTAACGTAAGTGAGCCCCTTCGCAAATTTCATCATGATTTGACTATATCTATTTTGGACCTGTTAATACTTTAACTGTTTTGACCTTATTTAGATCTGTGTCATCGACTATATATTGTCGATTGATCTTTGAGTCAGTAGTGAATAGAGTTTAGTAGATGAAGACGTAGTAAAAAGATTAGCAAGTCTTAATGAAAATAATTAAGACAAGGAGAAATCTTTAGAGTTACTCATTTGTTGTCATGTTCCATGATATTGCAATAGCTGCAATCCTCCTTGAAGCAAATCATGAAAAATCATATGCTGCACTAAATAAAGTGCTTAAACCGTTCTTGCACTTAATATGCAATTTATATATTATGTCGAGTTCAGACAAACAAGAAGTTCAGAAAACGCACTCAAGTGTCATAAATTGTTTTTTCTTTGGGCGTTTAAACGCATGTCTAGTAAAATGGATGTGTGAATCGCTAAAAAGAGTAAGTTGTAAACCTGTGAACGTACATATTTTACACTTCCATTATTTATACCCATTTATACGCAATGGATATGAATTGCATGAGTGTGGGTGTCATTGTAGAGTTCATTTTTATCTACACCTGCACGCACTTTCATCCACTCCCACAAACTCTTGGATGTTGCTGTATGGCACACTCTTTCGCTGAAATTTCTACGTCTCTCTATTTAACAAAACTACGGCATGCTTTTTTTTCTGTTGACATAAATGGAGAATGAAAAAAAACCCACAAAACGAAGAAAAATGTTGACTTGAGCAACCAACAAGCAGAAGAACAAAACACAACTTTCATATGCACATGTAATATTTTGTAGACGTTTGTTAGTAGCGCATCTGTTGTCGTTTACTTGCGATTACGACGGTATCATATAGGTAAGCTCATGTCAGGATTTCATCGTTCATTTACTCTTATAAGTTAAATTAATTGATATTCAATATGAGATAGTATTATTGATTGTACCTAACTAATCTCTAAGAAAGTGAGACAAAGAGAACTTCCCAAGAAATCTCAGAATCTGTTAACCGCAAAGCTTTAAACAAGAGGCCCCATAGTTCAAAATTTTGTCACAATTATTCAACTTTTCACATTTTCGGTTTGCTTCAACACTGTTGAGAGGGTGTGGGTGAAGAAGAAACATACCCACGCCCACGCCCACCCACACCCTTAAAACTGAAGCTTTTAATGAAAGCAATACGTTTTTCAGTTGCAAACTTGTGAGTTCGTGTGTCTGGATTACTAAATCAAAATAACCGACACGGAACAACCCAGAATGGCTAGCGTCAGTGTCCCAAAAATTGATAAAACACTGACGAAAACCTGCCATCTGTAGATGTTCAACCAATCCAGATCAGTAATCGGCAAACCGACTGCTTCAGTACTAATTTACGAATCAGTTTTCAAGCCTGTCTGAGAGATGATCGGTAATGCGCACAAAACATATGCACGGCTATACACTGTCGAACTCGCATCGGATGACATAGGGGCATGTTTCATTTTTGAATCCACCGTTGATTATCGATTTCATTTGTCACTAGCTATACAGTTTCTCAAGCCGTACAAGATTTTGATTTTTGGTTAAAGTTGGAGACAAGATGAACTCTTTCTGAGATGACAGTCGAAATTCAATGTTAAATGAGTGTAAGGAAGAAACAAATTGAATCGACTTGACTGCTACGAGTGACTTATGTAATTTTGTAACATCGTTCTGTGCATGAATTCTTTCATATTTCAATAAAATATGGTTTTCAGGCAATCAAATATATATTCTTGTTCATTTTGAAGAACCTTAGAAGATTCATTTTTTGAAAAGCTTTGTTGCAGTTGGTAACTCTCTGTAAGGAAAAGCCATATAGATCGAGTGTCAGGCCAGTTCGCGGCTCATTGAACACTGCGTTAAAAAGGGCATTTTTGTCTAGTTTGTATGATTTTAGAATCCAAATACTCATTGATAGACAGTACAACAGTCGTCGAAAGTGTGACCACAGTATATTTTATAATTATGTTATTTCGAGTTCTTTCCAACGTACATTGCAATTGACTTTTGATTGATTTTGAATCTTACACATTCGATTGTTCTCTAGATTGTTTTATTCATAACCCGAAATTGACTATCCTCACCATCTTCTCTCTTTTTTTAAAATTTTGTGATGCGATAATCTACATAATATTGTACCTTATAGCATAGGTAAATCAACATGTTTCCTTCCTCCGAAATTGCACTTCACCCAACCTTTGAGTTGATCTTTATTAGTTATTTCTAAACTGGAACAAATTATGGCCAATTCGATACGTTATTGCAAAAAAAAACGCCTGCTTTTATGGTGAGCAGCACAAGTTTACCACTGTTCCATGATACTCGTTTTCCAATATAAAAGTCTTTAACAAGAATGAATTAGTATCTTATTCTTTACTAATTTGCATAGATAACTCTTTAGAAAACACTTAAGAAAACATACCCAAGACTTCTCGAGATAGACAAAGAAGTGGAATAAGAGAAGTATTTCCATTTGACTTTTTATTACTTTTGTGTTTGCGTTTCTTGGTGATAAGGTATAAATAAGCTACAGTGCTTTTGTTAAGCATGATTGTTAATTAGTTATGAAGTTTATAGTGAAACAAGTGTGCTCCACTCTTTCCACCGCACCTTCCTACCAGGCTGCGTTACAGACTGTGACAGACATGTCTGTCACCATCCGCAATACTAAATCACATTTTCGCGTAATTTAGCCCGGTCTGTCACATATATGGTGAACTCTTTGTAGATGGGTTAAAGTAGTACCATCCGTTTTTACACTTGAATCCATAGAGATTGAGTTGATCAGTACTTGTGAACTTTCGTGCAATTGGCCTTGGCCTATGCTACCCTAGTAATCCATCTTCTGCAATGTGAAAAGTAAGCTAGTTTTGTGGCTCTTGAGAAGTTGCATCCAATATGTGAGAATAAGAGTGTGCTAGTTGATGATCATCGTTAGATATCAGCTAAACTGCGATGATCTATGTGAGTAACGCACTATCGAGTATGCATTGAGCAAAATTTCCCTGTTTGTTTTCTTATTCAAGATAAACACGAAACTACAAGTCTTCCTCAACTGCCACTTACCGGATTCAATTATTGAACAAAAGTAACAGAACGACTTGACTACGAAAATGACTGCAAGCTCTATTGATACGTCTCATGTCAATACTCGCCTTATCGATGTTGATAAAGAACAGTTGAATACACTTACTCCTTTACTTGGTTATTCCGAAGAACCTCTTGTATCATTAAACAAAGCTGTTGTGAAATTGCGTGATTTGGTCGATAATGTCGAATCATACGCACGGATAGCCATGAATGAATGTAAAAATCCAGCCGATGACCTCACCCAAGATGAATCTGCCGCCATTTCTTTGTATACAATTGATTGGGATCCCGGTCATCGGAGTCTTTATTCAGTTCTGAATCGAACACTTCGCGATGAAAATCGAAAGAAACTTATTCCTTGGTTTCCTTACTTGAAATTGATATTTGTCGCCTTGTTTAAATTACCGTCAACTCAAGGCACCGTTTGGCGAGGGGCTCGCGGCGATTTACGCTCCCTTTACAAAGAAGGTGATAATATTACATGGTGGGCATTCAGTTCGTGTACAACTGCCGTCAACGTTCTGGAACGCGAGCAATATTTGGGCACATCAGGTCCACGCACACTTTTTGCAATTGATTGTGTAAATGGAAAAGACATAAAGCATCATTCTTACTATTCACAGGAAGAGATATTGCTTCTTCCATGTACATATTTCAAAGTCATTAGTCATTTCAGCAGTATGAAAGATCTTTATATTATTCATTTGCGTGAAATTGCACCGCCATTCATACTTCTCGAACCACCGAATTCTATGCTAGCAGGTAAGAACAATATTAAATATACCTAGCATATTCTATAGAACACATTGGTGACAGAAATTCAATAACCTAATCCGTTTTAAAGTGTACAATATTGAGATTCATCAACAGTGTCAGAAATGGGTGGATATTGTAAGATAAGACTAAAATCAGATTTGTAGATGTAAAGCAATCGAATGAAAGCTCATTGAAATAGAATTCTTTGCTCGACTTAGATAATCATCTAGTTAAGTTCATCCCAACAAGAAATAGACTTTCATCGAAATTCTATGACGAAAACAATTTCAATTCTCACCTTAGATTCGTTTTCGAGCATGCTGACACAATATTCTACTATAGTTAGTCTTCCCTTTAGGAGTTAACAGTCTATTGTTCTCTTTTATTTACCCTGTCACACGAAAATAAGTTGCTATCAACAACAAATGTTGCTTTACATCAACCAAAAATAATTCTGTCAGTTGGCAGACTGCATTAAAATCGAATTATACTATTGCAGGAAACAAGGTCGTTGCAGTCATGGATGCTATCTATGCGAAAAATGTTCACCGTTTTGAGGAAAAAATTGATATCTTATGCATTTTGAGTGATACTGAAACTATTAGCTACATACTAAAGTCACATCCAACAGATGAAAGGATGGTATTGAATCAAATGCGATTTGAATCAACATGGCGAGACTAGAATCAATCTTACTAAATATCTTAGCATTTTTTCTTCACACATTGAAAATAGCATCTTTCGAAGTATCTTACTTATTATATAAGAACTTTGAAAGTGAATTCTTGAAATGGAGGTACGCGTGCTGATTGATATTTAAATTCAAAGTTAATCGATTCAACAGTTGTTCTTTGACCCACTAGCTCGGTAACATGTGATGGATGTTGCTCTACCTGAAAATAATCTAGTGATCGAAATTAGTGCAATCAATGGCATGCATTAACGAAAATAGTGAGTTGAATCAGTTATTCAATATAGTTATGAATCACATATGAACACTATTCTGTAGAAGTACTAATAACAATAGACGAAAAGAACACAACAGATGCTAAACTCATACTTTAATGATTCACACGAGAGAAATTTGTTCAAATGATAATAAATGAAAGAAACACGAATGAGAATAAGGTGATTGTGTATTGAAGTATTTTATTATTGGACATTGATAAATGTATGTAATTATATTTTCAATACTCTTTAGCTACTTATAGTTCGATACTTCTTCTACTGGTTTGTTGAATTTGCTGCTTTCTTAATGTGCCATAGAATCTCAAGGAATACTAATGATAACAGATTGGATAAGAGATATCAAATTGAAGTAGAATATGTTTTGACTTCAAATGATCCAAGGAAAACAATGGAAAGACAAATAGTTGCAGATAGCAATAGTTAGAAACATTTTTTTTATTGAACCAAGAATATATTGACTTTATAAAGGAATAGTAGATCGAATCAATTTAGTATGGGAACTAAGTTCGTTAGCTGTTGACGAACACATAAATTGCTATTGATAATATATAAAAAAATCATAGACGATGAGGATCCCTCATAAAATGTGTTCTTCTTTCCAAACTGGATCTCTAGTGAATTTTCATGCCTTTGATGAGAAGAATAGTGAAAATTAGAATAGATTTGAATGAAATATTTACGAATATTTACACTCAACAAGAGCTGTTCCGTTTTTTTAAGGCGGCTTTCTCTATATATTCAATACTCCTCTATAAGATTTGAAAAACTCTTGACTAAAAACTATGCCTATTTTTTTGCTGAATTCAGATAAACACGCTTCTTATCATTTCATGATTTTTAAGCTGTATCTTCTAATTTTTGAGGTCCTAAAATTAAAAATCTTACTTACGAACAATCGCGATCAAGACTAGAGCAACTCATGATGGAAAATGAGCGTCTGAATATGTTATGCAACCAGCAAGATGCTCAGACCAAGAAGCTTCTAACCGAAAATCAATTACAGAAAAAAAACTATGCTATTTACGAAGAGGAGATTCAGCGTCTCAAACAAGATAATCACCGTATGAAACAAGAAGTTCAGTACTACTTGGAAGAAATTCAACGTCATAAAGAAGAAACTCAGCGTTTCCAGCCGGATAATGATCGTTTAAAACAAGAATCCCGGCAGTCTGATAAAGAGATTAAGCGTCTGAGCGATGAAGTTCAATTTCTCAGACAAGAAGTCGAACTTATAAAACGTTCATCGACTGCGTCAAGTGAACATACAAGAATTCCTTTGACTGCATCAGCAAAGACAAGTGGTGAGTAAAAAGCTGTATTAAAGGAAGTTTTCAAAAAGACTAGCCACGAGTTGGTTCCTGTTTTCTTTTGAAAAATGAGTATCAAGAAAAGTGAAGAAAAAAGTTTCTACCAAAGAATGAGTTTATCATGTCTATCAGTGAGATTTACTGTATTCGGGTTTAATTATCACTGTCAATGAAAAAACTATCAAATCCAAAATATGAGTTACTGATGGTAAGTCTACATGGAGTTATTTAAATTTTAACGTTTGACACAATTTATGTAATTATATAAAAACAATAGAATTTTTCAAACTTAAGTTTCTTTTTTTCAAGCCTTTAACTGTTTGTGTAAGCAGTAAGTTTCCAGGATGTGAATAATGTTTATCTATTATATAAAAGCTGCAGGCGAAAAATGTCTAGGATATCTTTGCTATTATAGTACTATACAAAACCTGTTGTTACTCATTCATCAGATTCATTCAGTCTCAGGATGTCATATGAGCATTCCATCTCTGACAAGTGCCTGGTAGCTTTTCGATACACTTCTCGACCATTTACTTAACAGTTCTTCATAATTGATATCTTTATTGTTTAGAAAAAAAAAACAATGATTCCTGCAACAAAGTTAGCTGTATCTATGAAAAGATATATATCTAGCTTTTCAAATCTAAAGCTATTATAATTCTAAACTATTCAACATACTCTATCCAACCATGTCTGAAATACGAAATAGAAAATCTAACGTAATATTCGAATTGAGGGTCTATAAAACTTTTCTTTTCCGGATTTCTCTCTTACACGGCACAATACATATTGTAATCATACGCATGATCACATAACCTCTTAAACTCTGTATTAACGCTTTTTATCACTTGTTCTTCGACGTTTTTAGAAAATGAAACAAAGCCTTATACATCAGAGTTTGCCACTTCCCAAACAAATCAACGTACAAACATTGATAAGCACCTCAAAAACAAGACTGACAGAGGAAACCATATGTCGATGCACGACCGGGGGAACACAAATATTGAAATTTTGATGAAAAACTGTACCGATGACAATCTCATCGATAGCCGTCACAAGTAAGCACCAGTGTGAAGAAGAAAGTTGATTTTTAATATAAATATTGATAACTAAGGAGATCCTTTCACATTAGCATAACATGTCTTTTCGACAGTGGTTGCTTAGTTTTTTTTTTTTTATAAAAGTTGGTCAGAAAATATTTTTAAAAATGATTGACTTGGAAGTATTTCATCAAGCACTTATCAAATGATAAAAAAGAAAATATTTCACTGGATGAACTCGTTCTGTTAATATTCTACATCGTTTCTATTTGAAATTTCTATTAAACACGACTATAACGAGTATAGTGATGCAAGCGAGACAGCTGGACCTGCTCCTTTCCTCATGAGACAGTCTCCAACACGATTTTATCTTCACTTCCTCATCTTATTGAAACCATAATAAAAATATCGAAGGGATATATCATAGATCATAATACTTATGCCGAGTACACTGTAAGTAAACTGATTACACTACTTTTGTCTGCTATTGAAGCAACTATCTCGTGTCTCAAATTTTAGCCTTCCATAGACTGTGCTGATCTTTTTTCTACTAGGGCACGTGGATGCCTGGGTGTATGTGTAGGTTATGAAGTATGGGAGTGCATGTAGGAATATGGAAGAGCGTCACTAGAATAATCACACTTACTCTCATCCAGAGAGAGAATGAATCGAAATTCTTTATCAATATAAATTAATATTTAGTTGTGTTTTGATTACAACTGGCTCTTTCAATCCAATTCATCGTTCACATCTTCAAAACCTTTTACGTGTAAAACAATATCTTGAGAACGAATGTCAACCACCATGGAATGTTCTCGCAGGGTATCTCTCGCCAACACAGTATGTTATATTTACAGTATTTTCATCTTTTAAGAGTCATATAAATATTGATCATAGTGATTCATATGTACATTCAAAACTGGGTGATTCAGCATGGATTCGAGCCGAAGATCGATGCCAACTCTGTGAAGGTGCTATTGAGCATGATAAACTATCATCTTGGGTTACCGTTTCGCGAGGTGAGTGTGAGTGGCCCAATGGATTTGTTGATTTTGGTCCTGTCACGGAAAACCTTTGTGATTTTCTTAATGGTACTCTTGTCGTTCAAGAAAAGTTGCTGAAGTATCCGTTGCGCGTGATTTATGTCTGCGGTTTAGATCATTTTAATAAATGCTCTTATCTTGAAGATATGGTGAAACAGAAAAATATAGGCTGTGTAGTTGTCTATCGCAGCGGTTATGATGACAATCACATTCGTCGTTCAAGCAAATCGACTGGTGTTATCTATATTCAATTAGAAAAAGGGCGTGACAAAATTATGGATATAAGTTCGACACAAATTCGAAAGTATTTTCAAAAGCCAACAGACTGTACAAGCAACATCGATCAACTCATTTATCCCAATGTTCATGAATATATGATCGAAAAATACAAAAAATAATCTAAGCCATTTTTCCCTATTGTCTCTATAAATGACACTGACTTCTACTAATAGTTCGCGTGAATACTTAAATCATCAATGATTCAAATATTAATAAATTATTTCTCTAAAAGTCAAGAATATGTACGTTGTAGTTTGTAAAGCATATGAATAATTTCTTATGTTGACGTAAATCAAAAAGCTATGATTATCAAAAATATGGTTTATTCAGCACGATTATGTTTTGTGATAATGGACGCGCATTAGGCTATACTCGAAATATAGTACCAATGAAAACTGTCTTGTCTGGCATATTCGATGTAGATGACGAAGGGTGAGTGTGGGTGTGTGCGTAAGTGAACAGATAACACTCATGCATCCACAGTCACATTCTCAAGTTGAAATTCGAAAATCGTTTTTTTTTCTGATTTTCCTGAGAATTGTCTACGACGTTTATCTAAAAAGACACCATAAAAGTGCTGTTTCTCCGTAGCATTAGCTAACCATCAGAAATTTGTCAGGGTATTCAGAGTTCATTTGGACCTACATAAGACACATAGCCTCAATACAAAAGCGATTGAACAGTTGGTGAGTGTAGATATTGGTGTAGACTTTCTCTTTATCCATACCTACATACGATAAGCATAATTATGAAATCTGTTCGAATGATATGAAGATAGTGGTTTTATATATGTTGTTTATAAACAATTAAGATATTCCAAACGAAAAGTATTAGAATAAATGTCAACTTCGGTCTCAGGTAGAATATGAACAGAAATGAAGAACTAAATTCTCGAAATCGTTGACAATAGGACTTGCTTGAAAGGGAAAAAAGATGTGAAAGTACGTAATGAAACATGAGTAGAGTTGTGTTTATGGAACAAAGGTGTAGTCTGTTCCCTTCCCAGTTATTCTGTGAAAGACAAACTTAACTTCATCTAACGAGTACCGTATCATTAGAATATAACGTAGTCAATCTGAATTTCTATTAATGGATCTTTTCAAAAAACCCATTTTTTCGAAAAATGATCGAAGCTGAGTGTTTTTTATCATAGAAAGATGCAACGAAGTTTCCTGTCTCAGCATATATATTACTTTTCAAAGAAAGGCTAAACTTTAACAGACTTTCGGAGTAGATTATCGCCCTACTACCGTATTTTTCGAGAGATTTTCGCAGTTTTTTTTATTTTTGGTAAGACTGCCTTTGTACTTGCGTCAGCATTGAATAAACATTTTCATATAATAATTTAAGTACGACCATGCCTTATTTTCTGGATTTGAATGAAAAAATTATTGTCTCAACTTTTTCTACGTTTTTCTCAGAATATGTTTTTTTCATCAGGAAAATGAAAATAACTTCCACTACGATCAAGCTATAAATTCTATTTTTTTTTATTTTAAAGGTCTCAATAAGAGTAAGTATTTGTCCGACAAGATTATTTTATAGTTGGCTTCTGTGTTGATAAAAGCAAAATTTAGTGTTGCAAAGTGTCTGTTTTTTTTACTTATTTTAACAGCGTATGTACTAAAACGATCATACAGAATTGACAGAAGCAAATTTCAAAATTCTGTTCGCTAAAAAGCTGCACACAGATATTGGCTTTAATTTGAAACCACATTGAACTCTGTACTCACTCCTTGCAATGGCGAAGTTATAATGATTCTCCTGAAGGTCATATATGGACTATGAATCAGTCGAAAATTCCCGCTGGTTGGACGTGTCGGACTGTAATTTTTACCAGAACTGTTTTTCATTAGGATCACTCATTTCTGAAAATTTCAGTCCAAGAGAACCATTCTCAGTAGGCAATCTATTGTGAGGAAAGGTCCTTAATCAGTATTGCTATCTAAATTCGAGTATATCACTGCTAAATCTTATGTATACCTTGTGTAGAGTTCATCACTACAGATGTAAATAGTCTCTAACGAGGTAATGAAATCCAGAAGGTGTAATGCGGAAGAATGTCCATGCCAGCTACTTGTCGTTTGAATTTGTCGAAAGATATGAACGCCACCAAATAAATAACAGAAAAAGTCACGAACCAAAGAATAAATATTGCTCCGCCACCCAGTGCATTTTTAGGTTTTCAAGGGGGATCAAGACCATCTATTATGATGGGTAGAATATTTTATACAAGATCATATATAGTACAGAATCTGTCTCCGACCTTTACAGCCGCTCTAGCATGCACACTTCAATGATAGTGTCATTGTATACAGTTTTGTCATGGAATCATATTCATGCACTTCTAACTTGTCAGGTTCTCCTGAGCTCAAACACCGCAAATCAACAGACAATGTTCTTTCTGCCGATGTATAGACTAGAGTAAGTAGATCTTGACCTGATGTAATTTTCCATTGCACACTATTATGAGTGCTCAAAGAATAGGCTAGCTTTTCGTCTGTGGCATATGCTAAGTAAAGTTTCAAGAAGCTATATTTGATAATGAAGTGCTATGGTTTCTTACTTTGACAGGCAGCAACATTCGTACATGAGCTTTGGGTGAATGGATGATACGGATTGTATGAGTATACTAGAAAGAAAAAGATTTTCTATTTATGAAAGTAGAGATGGTAACCAAATTTACCATAGTCATATCTCTTCTTAGGTAATATGTTTTTCTATGTAGGCATTCCATCCACATGACCAATACTAGTTAAATCAATTTTCCTTTTTTTATTCAAATCATAAATGCAAGGATCAACCGAGTTTAAGCAATTTGGTAGGTATAATAGTAAGAAAAACGAAAGTAAAACAATATTCTTTCATGCATTCATTCTTATGTAATCTTACAAAAAATGAAAACAAATAGTGTTATCTTTCATTTTCTTTCATCCAAGGAATGTTTCATTGTATTTTCTGCAAACAATACTTTTGCTTTGTGCAGGCTGTTGTTTGCAGTGTTTGTTACTAATCGAAAATACATCTACTCTTCATTAGAAAGCGTAGTCATAAATTTCTATACGGAAATTGTTGTGCTGATTGTACGAACCTGATCATTTATTTAAGAGTTCTTTCATCTTTATCGAAAGATTATAACCTATGATAGTCTCATATTATCATCCAATCGACTTGATTTCAAATTTTAGATAGAGCCCAATAACATGATATCAAGCAACGTTAAAGTCCATTTGTCTTTGCAATCATAATACTTCATTTAGACTTGCATGTGTTCTGTTATTCAGCAGTTACTCGTGAATATAATGAGTTGACTCTTATGTCATAGATAATAACGTCTAACAAAAGCTCGTCCACTCTTTCAACTTTTCAAAATGGAGATCTCATGTAGCTGAAACTGTAAAAGATGAAAAATGTCTGCATGTTGTCCATATCTAGATCAAAAAAGTTAAATGTCGGGTGTGGCTGTGACTGTAACTATGGATGTTGGTACAAGGTAATAAGTGACTAACACTCACGCCCACACCTAAGTTGTAACCATTCAAAAAATACTAGACCGGTCTGGTTCAGCCAGTCACCGATCTATCTAAAAATATCTTTAGGGTGGTAAAAAAAACTGGCGAGTTCACAAAATTCTTTCATGTGTTGAAACTAATTGTTGGGGCAAAATTTCGTTTTAAACACTTGCAGGTTTTTGCACTTTTATTTTCTGGAATATTTATATTGCAATGAGCCTTATTCTCAGTTCGCTTGTAAGGCTTCCGGTAACAAAACCAAGGACCAACCCAGGGTTGTAATCAATCGAGAATTTTTGAACTTTCGCGGTTCAGCTGGTTCACGTTTTAGAACAATTCAATCCGGCAATTTCAAAAAGCCTTTTAGACGAGTGAAAACCGGTACAAAGTGAATGGTTTGTTGTATCATTAATAATTGGCTAATGGAAATAACTTGAAAACATCTCGTTTTCCTTTTTTCTCTCAGGTTTTTACAAAAATTCTGAGAAAAATCTCATATTCTAATCGTATATATCTGTTTGGTTTTTCAAAAATGAATATGTGAAATTATCAATAAATTAAAATATAACTAGTTGGACACCACTTTATGTAGCGATGAAATCACGAAAATTTGATGTTGTTAACTTACTTCTTAAACGTAGTATTAATCTTGATTTTGCAACAAGTGGTCCAGATGCTGACAATTTAAATATAACTGATCAAACAGCACTATTTATGGCTACATTGAAAGATCGTGTTGATATTACAAAATTTTTAATTGAAAAAGAAGCACACGAAAATGTACAAAATTGTTATGGTATATCACCATTACTTCTTTGTGCCGAATCAGGTAATCAACTAATGTTAATATTACACCAGAAGGAGATTTAGCTGAAGAAAAGTTTCTTGCTAGACGGGTAAAATCTTTTCAGAACTTTTGTTTTTGTACCGCTCGACTAAACGTTTCTTTTTCTGACACTAATATTTAGAGAAGTTTAAAATGTATAAGTTTCAAAAAGTAAATAATTCTATAATTTATTTGTCTGTAAAATTAATTGCTGTATAGTTTCGAATGAATTACTAATGAGAAAATAATGTAATCAGAGGTTTAAATATACTTAGAGTATATCAAAAACCAATGACGCCAGCAATAGTATACCATATAGAAATCTTGAGAAGAGCATCTCTGTATATATATATGCATAGTACAAATAATACTCCATATTTTTTCAATCTTCCATTATTTTTCAGTTGATATTATGATAAAGTTTCGAGAGAAAATGTTGAACTTGATTTTAAATCGATAAGAAAAATTATTGATGATGATTTATGTTCTATTTTCGGTGACTAGGCTTTACCTCTAAGAGAAGAGTTGAAATATGATCGAAATGATTTTGTGAAGATCAATATTATATCCGAAAATAGTGAAAAATTTCATTTCTTTATACTTGATAATCCTAAGATTACAATTGACGAATTACAAGTGTGAACTGACATGTCCTATAACTTAATTATGATAAAACATATGACAAAAAAAAGACTACTGTTTGAACTATCAATAGACATAAAGAGAAATTTCTTTCAAGCTTAGATTCGGCTATGAAAAGAAAAAGAATTACATTAACTTATACTATTTCTTGCTTGATTGATTTAGATAATATGAATGATTAAATTCTAAACTATATATATTTCATTTCTTTTTAGACGCCTTTTTTTTTCTGCAGCCAAAAGAGGTCATGTAGAATTTGTAAATATCTTATTGAGAATGGTGCCGATGTGAATGCTGTAGCAATGGTATATTTATTTATTAAATTATGATTAACAGGATGAATTAATTTTTATTTAGACTGGTGCAACTTCATTGTATACAGCAACTGAAGAAGATCATTTAGATGTTGTTGTTTTATTAATACATTATGGTGCTGATGTAAATCAATCACCAAAATGACAAGTTGCACGTGATCTTCATCTTGAAAATCAAACCCCTTTATTAATAGCATGTATGAGAAATCATGAAGAAATTATTCGATATTTACTTGAGTCTGGTGCAAATGTAAATGTAACATCGGAAGTTGGTTCATCGCCATTTCTTGCCATTTGCCAGCATAATAATGTTGAATTAGCACGATTACTTATTCGGCATGGTGCGCAATATGATGTTGAAGGAAGAAATTTATATGATGGAAAAATTAATGGTTTGATTATTGCTT